TTTTGCGGGAAACTGACTGCGCATCGGAACAAGAATGCCATTTGAATTGAATCAGGTGAATTAGCCCAGTTGACATTATTATCACTGCTTATAAATCTTTACTTTCTGTCTGATCAGACATGAAAAAGAATTTATCTTTATCAAAGAGAATGAAATTATAGAACAAGGGGAATCATTATTCTTTTCCGACAGGAGGCAAGATATTTCAGGTAGATGTTTTTGGGTCACCATTTCAAAAACTTAAGTTATTACCCAACTTTGACTTACAAAAACCTGATTGATGTAAATACGATGGCAGACTCTTTTTTGGAGTTTTTACGGATGATAATTAAAAATGTAACCTCAGATTTCATGATGGGATGAAATTAATGGTCTTAAGGTTTTTCTTGTCATCCAGACATTCTAACAATTTAATTAGATTAGCGAATGAAAGTATGATACAAATTAATTTTTTCTCCTTTCAATTAAATGAAGTGTTTACTGTGATGTTCGCTGCGTGAGAAAATGCTGAGGCTTTATTTTGCGACAAAAAATTAATTACATCATGCGTTTTAATGAAAATTGCTTACTTCTCCCAGAATATTTCTTATAGATGAGTTCCTGCGAAGCAGTAAGAGGAATGAAGGGATTGAAAAATGGAGATGGTTCGGAGAAAGAGAAATAGAGAAGAGCTCTTAAAATCCAAAACATATAAGTTACAGTTGTTATATACAGTGTGATGACAGCCTGTCAGCCAAGACGCGGTCCCGAGCTAAGTCTCCCGAGAGACTTATTTTAAAATGCTCTTATGACGTTTCTCCTCCCCATTTTAGATATCGAGACAAGCTATAAATTTTCGCGGGAAAAGAACACACGATCTTGAGCATGTTCCAAATTATAGAGAGCTTTTACAAGTTGTCACGGTCTCGAGGCACATATTACGCGGCCTAGTTTTGACCCACCATCGACTCAGATACACCCGACGCAAAAAAATTGCAAAAATTGGGAGGCAGGGTTTGTCAACCATTAGAAATATTGTGGATAAATTAATAGACCGACTCTTTAGCGGCAAGATCGTAAAAGGATTAAGTTGAGCCCATTAAAAAAATTGAAAACTCCTTCATTGAAAAAAAAGTATGGGCTGTATACACAAACGACTGTTTCGGCTCTTACACCCGGAACGTGGACTGCGTATTTAGCCCGTAATTATGGCTTCCACAGCCGGAGTTTTTTTCAGTGTTAACATAAAATTTCAAAATCTATGTTACAGATTTCAATTTTTCCTCATCCTTTGAAAAAAATTTTATTTTTCGGTGTTGGGAACCGCGTTTGCCCAAAAATACATAAAATAAAACCTAACTTGAGAATAGAAAGAATCTCACACTTTGTCATAAATTTTTGTTAAATTCATAGGTGAAGGCTTCATCAAGGTTTCAAACTTTCAACAAGTGTGGCAGAGGGAAACCCAGGTAATGCATCTAGAGGAGGCACAATTCAACCAAAATATCTGTGTTTTAAGTATCTGTACAGAACTGATAAGCAAGGAGCTCCTTTTTTAGGACGTTGATTTCCGACCTACATCTACACAGATGCCATTCTCCGGTCAGGATCTAATCTTCGAGATTAAATTGAAGGGCAAAGATGCGGTGTCTAGGTCAAATCAATTTATGAACTAAAAATCAATTGAAGGAGTTTGAAATTGGAGGCAACTCTCCGAGGGGGATTTCTGGCCCTTGAGGCTTGCATCACCCGGTTCTGCCCTTCGTTTTCATCTCCTTATCCTCTATGCATTGAGAGAGTGTTTCATATTTTCCGCTTGTTGCAGTTGGACGTTAAAGAAAAAAACTTTGTAGACATTTGAAAAAAGGGAGCTTTGATTTAAATAGAAATATTCTCGAATTTCCTGCCGATGAGAGATTTTAATTGAATAAAAAAGAAGAGATGCTTACAACAAGAAGAAAGTCAATTATATCAAGCAGAAACCTAATCGATTCAAGAGATTATATTCCTGGTGTATGAGAAAATCTTGACGGAAAATTCTAGTCACCTTTTTTCCGCGTATACGCAAAAGAGCCCTATGAAAATGTTGTCAGTTTGAGGAAGACATAAATTACTCTCGATCCAATTTAAAGGTTTGGACAGATTTAACTATACGACTTAATTTGATTTTTTTAAAATATGTATACAAAGTTTAATAATTTTCAAATCATTTTTTGTGGCTCATTCAATTTTATGACACGGCTGGGCTTACGCAGGATGTACAGCGTACATTTCCGGATCTGTCCATTGACGCATTTGATGCTCAAAGCGGTGCCAGCGCTTAGGTAATATGTAAAAATAAGCAAACGGGACGAAAAAGATTTACAGTGTATGATTATAATTTTATTTCACAAGTGTTTGGGTTTCAGCTCGCGTTAAGGCGGTGCGCTTCAGCAGCTCTCGGTTGATTCTGTGACTTTGCCAAATCGTCACGGATCAACATGCATCAAAGACCGCGGCCCGATGGAAATGGATTTTGTCGAACATCGTCGCCACGTTAGATAGACAAATTGCCAGATGTATCGCGAAACTCGTTCCGAAGAAACGGGATTTCGATGGAAGGAAGGCGAGGCCAACAACGTCCGGGGATGATGAACACTGTCAAGACGGCGCAAAATATCGGTCGATGACGGATACACGACGTCGACTCCGAGGAAAATTCACTTGAGGCCTTAATTCGCCCTCTTCGAATGTATTTATGAGGTCGATTCTTGAAAAGGCGAGTTTCTCGTGGGCATGTTTCTCCATGCGAAAATGATGTTAGTCAACTTACTCTGCGGGCGAGAAATTGAGATGAAACGTCTGAAACGCATTTTTTCTCCGAAACATGACGTAAACTGCCAGGGATTATATTTTTGGATTTTTGCTGGAATTGGTGGACGTCGTTGGTTGGTACACGGCCGTCGGTGGTCAAAACATCAAACGTCCTGGATTGGGGCTGATTGTGAATTGAACCGATTTTACAAGGACCCGCACGTCAGGAACTATTACTTAATTCTTTCTTCACCCCCAACCCCTCCTCCTCATAAGTTCTCTACCATCTCAAGTCCCATTCACCTTGCACTGATTGTGTATGTGGTAGTTAAAATAAAGTGGAATCATGTGAGCTGGCAAGTCTTGACCGAGTGGGAGTAAAACCTCGAATTGAAAAACTTCGATAGTCTGCGTCATAAAACCACAGAAATTCATATTTACCTTAAAGTTAAATATGTTCTCATAGGTAGGAAGGTAACCACAAATAAATTACATTGTTCTTAGAAACTCTCCAATGAGGACAAAATGTTTTCCCCCCATGATGATTGGATCCTCTTAGTGAACATTGCGTTAAAATGTCTCTATTTTCCACCGAAATGGCAACACTGGCCTTGGTCGAAGAACCTGTTTACAGCTGCCGAGTATCAAAATCTCGCTAAAGATGCTTTTATCAGCAAAGTTTGGTTTCGGTCCGCGGGTCAACTTGCCGTATTTGCTTTTGATTGAACTTTGACAGCCGGTTACATAAATCCGGTGAGAGGAGATAGAAAAGAAAATTCATTGTTAAAAAATAAAAAGAGAAAGGAAAAAAAAAAGATATTTGGAAGCGTTAATGACGATTTTTGGTATTAATTAGCTGAGACACCAGCGCGTTCTCCCTAAGAACGGGTATTTTTTTACAGCACTCCTCAATTTAGACAAATACTTTTATAATTTCCGTCATTTTTCATGAATGATAAGGATAAAATCTTTCTACTGTGAGAGCACTCCTGGCTCATACGATCAAAATGACAGTCATCACTTCACGAAATCTCTTCGATGAGCCTGAAATTTCAGCGTCTGGCGAGCGTTGACGTTTCGATGATGAATGACCTTCGTTTTCATGTCATTTTTAAGTTTCCGCCTTTAACATCAAGAGGTCTTTGGTCTTCGGCCCCCGCCGATAACTTTCAAACAGAGTGATGACTTGATCACGTCTGGATAAATTGAAATTGGCATCCTGTCGATTATTATTCATTCTTGTAGTTATTTAAAGCTTGGCATCGCAGGAAAACTCCCACAGGTGTTAGTGCTGAGCAACGTTTTTCACCATTTTCAATTCATCTACATTCCAGACCAAAAACTATGGCGTATTTAATGAACACTATACATCATCCACTTTACTTTCTGCAAGATTTTTTTTTTTTCATGTAAGTTATGTATTTTAAATTGAAGTCTAAATTAGAGAACCGCGTGGTTGCAAGAAGGAGGGTTACGTAAAAAATAATAAGTCTCTTTATAAAAGGACAATACGTAGGTGAGAATCCATTACGGCTCGTGACAATAACCTTGGTATTCAAGATTTCCTCTGATTATTCGAAATTATGAGAAGAAGGTTCATTTCCACGAGTTTTTCTGCAAAAAGTTCAGAGAGAGGAGGAAAAGAGGTCTAATTTCTGGCAGAAAACTTATCAGCCTCTCGGAAACTTTTGATAATGGGTCATAGCTTTAAAACCACTGAAAATGTTTTATAAGATAATGTTGAAGGTTGTTAGAAAGAACCATGATTGGATAGAACCTTATTAGATAGAACCATGAAAAAATGATGGATTTTTTGTCGAAAAATGGGGCATCTGAAAGCTCAAATTGAGGATTAAGCCCTTAAAAATGGCAAGTGAAAGTAGCGATACGAATCTTCCATGCAAACAAGTGAAAGTTAAGGTTTGAAAGACAAAGATTTTTCATTGCATTGGCTTTCAAAATTAGGTATTATAAGCAAATGCAGAGGACATTAATCCCTTCTGTTTTCATTAACAGATATAAAATTTTTCAAACGTGAACATAGGAACTATTGCTTTTTTATTTAATTAGATTGTGCAGATTTGAGAAATTACAAATTTGATTATGACCGGCATTTTATGTCGAAAAAAATTGTATTTCCGATTATTAGTCTTTTGAACCTTCGTGTGCATTTTGATACTTTAATGAGAAGAAAGAAATTAATTTATACAAATATTGAATTTACTTACGGTTAAGTAGTTTGAGAAATCATGAAAGCGACTTTGATGAAGTGTTGACTAGCTTCAATGGTGAAAAAATTCCTTAAATCTGAAACAAGAGCGAAAAATCAACGTAAGAAGGAGGCAAAAATAAGATTGTAAGAATACACAAGAATTAGACAGAAATGACTAAAGAAAGGCATGTAGGTAATGCGTAATGATGAATGAAACTTGAAAACTTAGCTACATTTTTTAATTAAAAGATAAAGAAAATGTGAACGAATTCCTTAACATTTTGTTCTCAGCTACGTTAGGGATATTCATTTCAATTTTGAAGATGTTGTAGCGAATAAACCATACATGTGGTTCATTTATCAACTGCAGTATTCATTACTGTGACTGTAGGGAAACAGAGTAACTCTGGTGAAATTTGAAGAAACGAGAAGTGGTTTGGCAGGTTTGAATTGCAGGCACATTATCGGGTGACATTATCATGGAGGTACTTATGTGACATAATAGCGTTTCATTGCACACTCGATTTCCACACTGAACACTCACTGCAATCTAACGGGCATTTTTGAGCACTACTTCATCGTAAGGAGCGCCTAACAGTTAGATTATAGGACACGCTTCGCTATGCTGAAGGTATCCACATAAGCAGGAAAATTTGATTCGATCATATTGTCTCAGATATGGTATACTCTACATCCGTGATGGTTGGTAAAATGATAAATACGTCTTTTTTATGTTTCCCAATTGAATCCGAGTAGAATTTTTGTGGTGCGGAAAGAAAAACAATCACTTTCTCATTATTTTGACAAACCGTATATAGTCTCGGCGTAACGGTTTATTTTCATCCTTTCTTTTCTATTTTCGGTAACAGAGGTCATGATTTAGAATTTTTTGGATATTTTGAATAACATTATTGCGAGAGCGAACATCCTCTTCTGATTGTTCCAAAATCAAACTCCGTTAGAAAACTTTTCCTCTAAAAGTGGGTGTGGCAAAAATTGTAACATCTGAGGAGTAATAATGAATAAATATTGAAATTCTACATGAGTTTATAATTGTTTCTTTTTTGACGTTTGTGAAGTTATTCCTCAGCGGCTTTTACCTCATTCGTAGTTTTTCCGAACTTAATTTTCTCCCGAATGAACATACCCATAGAATAAAATGAAAACAATCTTCCACTTTATACACCCTGAGGTGAGAATACCTTAGTTAACATTTTTACAAAAATAAACCTAAAGTAAATGAAGTTTATTAAAATCGACATATAGCCTACCTTATGGTTTGGGGTTTAAAGTCTTTGTAAACTGCTAATAATGCAATAATGTGACCTTAAATTCCAATCTACTGAAAATTTTCTCTTGCAAGATATTCAAATTAATCCACCTATCTTGATTCAGGTTGATGAAAAATGAATAAAGTTCAAGGTTACAATCTCGAACTTTTTTTCTTTGTTATGTTTATGAATATATTGTTTTTTTCTTTTTTCCCTTTTTTTATTTTTTTCTTTTTTCTTTCTTGAGGGTTTTTGTCGTTGGCGTGGTTAGCCAGTAGAAATTATTTCGGAAAGCTGATGAAAACTAGACCATACAAAGAATCAGCCTTTTTAGATTCTTCGGCCAAAAGAAGATTATTACAACCTATTAAAATTCTTAAATGAAGAATGTGCGACAAAACCGAAATAAAATATTTCTACAAAGCCGCACACACAACTTCAGAAACAAAATAATTTTTTCTTATTTCCTTTAATGAGCGGCCATAAATTTTACTCGCATAGAATGGCGTGTATTATCTATCGCATCTTTATATTCAAGCGACTACATGGACATTTAAAAATTACGAAATATGTTTAGCAACAGTCAACAGATGGACGCATTTATGCTAAAAGGAACTATGTACATTGGTTTTGCGTGTGACATAGTTCCTTTGAGCATAAATACGTCCAGATGGGCTGAGGGACGGAAACTGCACCCATTCCTCGATAACGGCTCGGCGGTCGTGCATGTGTGTGTGTATGCAAGTAGGAGTTAAAGTTACCTGAAGGAATTCTCTGCCATTCATACAAGTGTTCCATCTCTTGAACTTTTTATGCAGTTCGATTGATATGATGGTCACCTAACTTTCGTATGTTGCTGTATTCATAAGTTACCCGCCTCTTAACATCTAGTACACTTATGAAATGCAGTGGAATAAAGTTTTAAAATTTGACAGGAGCGTAAGGTTAAAAAAAAAAAAAAAAATTTAAAAAAAATAGGTTAATGCCTTTCTCTTTCTTAAAATCTGCAGTCCTAATTTGAATCCTTCCTTTGAGATTTAAGGCTTATTAAAATACAGAATAATTCGGGCCATCCAAAAAAACAGTACAGTTCTACAGTTTCAGTCCACATGGCGCACTAAAGTTTTTAATAAGGGTAACTAAAGTTTTCGGTCATGGTAATTGAACTTCCGTTCAGGAGTCCAAAATATTGTTTTGACCATAAACTAAGACTGACACTTTTCACCTGAGATTTCTGTTTTCTGCGCTGAAGTTTGTTTCCTCTGACCAAATTTTGATTTACCCCGAGTCCCTGAGCCAAAAACATTGGTACCGTACGAACCAAAATTCCGTTTTTGTAACAGAATTTGTTTTAACACAGCTATTTTTTAGAGCAGAGAATTCGGTTGGAAGAAGACCTGCGTCACTTTAAATTTTAAAAAAAAGCAAGTCGATTGTTACGGGACAAAAAAATAGCTTTGTTCATGAATGATATCGCGATGATGTTTGGTTTGAATGCTTGCATGCATGTGACAAAATATCGTCTCAATCGTTTTCCTCGACTTTAAGTCTATGACGCTATTAGAGCGGCGCGAAACTCTACGCGCCCCTGAACCACAATGGAATAAATTTAATATAAAACCTAGGTCACGTTTAAGAAGACAATGGTTGATATTGAAAAATCAAATTCTTAATACTAATGAGATTAAAAATCCCATATGATATTAAGTGGGGAAACAATAACTAGTAGCAAAAACCAAATTATATTAAGTAGCTAATCACACCATGAACGAATGCAAGGCTCATGGTTTCTTTCATTCAAAATTCTGCAGACTTTTCAACCCTTAAAACTCTGCTAATCCCCTATGATTGCTTTGTTTCGTTGTTTCCCCCGCTGAATGGATTAATTTTAAGAGGTACTCCGGTACCGCATTACATAATCATTACGGGTTGGGGGATCAGAAAATGAGAGCGTATATTTCGGTATATACGGTGAGAGTTGAATCTTCGCGTAACGCGAAGATCTAATATTTGAAGATTTACACTTCTTAGGGGGAAGAGACCTTTTTGGGTCAAATATATTTCGAGAACCTGACAAAATTTGACCAATTTAGGGACTAGATCATTCTTGCTGTATTCGATGTATGCATACCCAATGGTTGCAAACCAAGAGCGTAATAATATGATTGTTATGTGATCAGAAAAAAAAATCAGTGAAATTTTCAGTTAAAAGCGCTGAGTGGTCTATGAGTACAAATACAATTTGCAAGTCTATATTTTGCAATGTTGCTGTGATAAAATTTACCAGCAGAACAGTGTCAAAATGCCAATAAACCGTTAATGTTTCTACTCGCAACTCACATCAGTTAAATCTACTAGTGGCATCAGTTGAGGTAACCTCTTCATTGGCATTTCAACGCTGCTCTACTTGTATTTACTCAAATAAGCGGACTTACTTTATTTTATTTATTTTCCTATTTTTGTTACAGTTTCTAAAATTGATTATTATAAATTTTATTTTATTTTCAAGTTTATATCTTTCCCTTTCAATAATTTTTATCAGGATGAAATTTACGTGAGCTTTCTCGTCTCTGAAGCGAGGATTTTGGCACGAGACCTTAGCGAGTGTTTCAGGACCCTCGAGGAGACTGAAGCGCATCTAATGCATGCGCGCACCCAAGGAGACACAACGTCGCTCCTCTGACGCATGGGCGTATCTAGATTTCAACGTGAGCCCTGTTTTCCATATAATCCCATGCTTTTCGGGGCTCAAGTGGCAATAGAGATACGCCCTTACGTCAGAAGCACGACGTCAAGAGGAGAGACAGGCACGGGAGAGGGAACAATGCGGAAAACTCAATGAGCGCTCTGCGACGCAACCGACGCACAGTGGATTGAGCCACTTACAGAGGTCGGACATACAATTTTTGACTAAAAATGAGACAGTTTATGTTTATTTCGTCACATTTTAAACTTAAAGGGGTGCGCCTTGAGGATAATTTCACGAGGAAACCAATGGGACCACTTTAAGCGAATTTTATTCAGTGTTTCGAACCTCTTTGGGAAGTTCTGTCCCGGTTTGTCTCATCAATCACCAACACCAGTAGACACCGTTGTTACCAGATTCGACCAATCAGATCCGTTGTGTTCGATAAGTCGAACTTTTTTAGAGCAACCTCGCGAGGTGGTACCAAAATCACGTACTAACGTTGCGATTCGTTAGTCACCGAATCGGAAGTTCCGAGCTCAAATAGAACGACAGCTCGGAGGTTCGGGCACAAAAGTAGTACCGAACCTCTGAATAAAATTCGCTTTTAGAACTTCAAAGTCTCGTATGAATGGAGTTATAAGCGTTTTAAATTTTCAAATTTTGTCCGACTTCTCGATCCATTGTGCGACGCGAAGCGCGAGGCCAGTTTGGCTCAGGCTCCCAAGCCACCGCCACCGCCAAGAAGCGATTTGAATTTTTTATGTCATCCATAGTTTGGATCTGAAGCTCGGTTCTGAGAACGGCGAGTTTAACACCCTTTTTCCTTTCCCAATGTTTTTCTCCGCGTTTCGCTTCGGAGACCGAACGACCCCTCGCGTTGCAAGTCGGTGACACACCGACACCGCGCGCCGCTGGCTCGTGTTACGGCCGTGGCCGCCTGCCAAAGAAAATTTCAACAGACTCACTCCAACTGTTACCGACCCCTCATTTTCCAATTAACTTACTCTCGGCTTTCGACTTTGTATCAGCCGCTGAGAACTAGTTCATAGATGCAGCTTAGTAAGTTGTGGAGCATTGGCGGATCCAGAAAATTGGCAACATGGTGTTTCCTTCAGTTAAACCTATGGAAATGTAT